TACTTCATCAGTATCCAATGAAACCAACGTCTAAACACTGAATTCACCAGAAGAGCAACATGAAAATTAGGGAAATGAGGATTGGTAGCAGCAGCAGTACGTCCCAATACACACAGGACCGAGATCCGAGAATCAAAAGGTACCATCCATTGGGCCGGAGCAACATGGTCCTGATCTGCAAAAGCATAACTGCACTGCAGCCAGAAAGGCACTACACACACAAATTGGGCACACAGTGAAAGGGAAGAGACAAGGGGAGCCACCCACAGCATGCACCAACTCCCCTTCCCTTCTTCCATTTCTGTCCTCCCTTTATCTATCTCGCCCTTCTTGCTCCATCACCTGGGTGCAACTGGGGCTGCATCATCATGATCAGTCTAGCTAGTGTACGCACAAATGTAGCACCAAAAACCTCTAGATAAAGCTAGGCAGCCATTGAATGGCCCAAACATGTCAAGAGAGAAGAAGAAGAAAAAGAAACATTGTCTTTGGGTTTGGTTTAATTATACATGCAGTATAAGTACTCTAATCAAGCCATCAAAGAACACTCGCTACTGTATTACTCCGGAGCTAATTAGCACTTAATTACACTAGGCGAATAACTACCGGCCGGCTGGCACTGGGGTTGTAGCACGGATCAGATGCTCTCTTCCACCTCTATCTTTTTTTCTTTTCTCTTATGTTTCTACTGCTACCGCTGCAACGAGCCAGGATTATAATTGACAGCATGCTGCTATATATGGCAATGTACGGACTGTAGCGGCGGAGTCAACTCCACCCGGCCGCGCCGCCGGGGGCCGTGACCCACGGCGTGACCACGAACGTCTCCTCGACGAGGATGCTGGGGTCGCCGCCGTGCACGCACGCCTCCAATATCTTCACCAGCTCGTCCTCGCGGTCCTTCTCGACGTCCTTGGGCGGCTGACTTGCGCCGCCGGCGGCCTCGTCGAATTCTGAGTCTTGGTTGTACTCCTCCATGGAGGGCGTGCGCAGGGGCGTCGTCGGGGACATCCCGCCCGACGTCGACTGCCCTGGGCTCGGCTCCGCCGCCGCCGCCGCCGCCGACTCCTCGGCTCTGGCGGCGGGAGCGCTCTGTCCGGCAGCAGGCTCCGGCGCCTGCTGCCTGTTGCGCGTGGTGCCGGCCAGGGAGTTGCGGTGGGCGGGGGCGGGGTGGCTGTGCTCGCCGCCGGTGTAGGTGAGGATGAAGGAGTTGGGGTCGTCGCGGCAGCGCTCCACCATCTTCCGCGCCTCGCACGCCTTGTCGGTGCTGCACCGGTAGTACCCGCGCGGGTACGGCGACCCCTTGATGGGCTTCTGCCCGTACTTGCGCCACGCCCACGGGTCCGCCGACGTGCCGTCCGCCGCCACCCGCTTCACCACCTTCTTCACCACCTTCTTCCTGCACAGACGCCGATTATCCACACGCACGCGTGAGCACAGGCATACACGATAAGCTAGCAACATTTTATTTCGAAAAAATTCAGTGTTCGGGACGTACTTTCTCTTGGATCTCGACCCTTCGCCGACGGGGCCTTGCGCGCCCGCGGTCAGCAGCATCGGAGGCGGCACCGCCACGTCTTGCTGCATCGGCACCATTTCTTCGACTGCCGGCGGCGCTGGCTGCTGCTGCTGCGGCGGCGGCGGCTGAGGCGAGGCCGGCAGCGCGGCCGACGGCGCGAAGAAGGCAATGGAGAGCTCGTCGACGGCAGCAGAGCCCCCGTTCCCGTCGACGGGCGGATCAGGGAGCGACGCCGCGGCGTCAGGCATCCCGTGGTCCTCGACGACGGGCGGCGGCGGGGGGAGGAAGGAGGAGAAGGGGTCGTCCGAGGGCGGCGGCGGGAGGACGCGGCCGCGGCAGGCGAAGCGCACGACGGCGTTGAGGTCCCAGTCGTTGCCGCCCCCGCCGCCGAGGTAGTAGCACCCGGCGTCGCTGTCCATGGTCGGCCTCTCTCGAGCTCGTTCCTGCTGGCTATGGAGGAGGGAAGGAAAGGAGGGGGGGCGCTGACTTTTGGTTCTAGTTTATTGTTGGCGCTGTTGGTGGGAGGAGAGAGATGGTGGTGGTGGGGATGGGCATTGGATCCGGCCTCGCTCGTGGTGTCTGAAAAGGAGGAGAGAGGGGGGCGAGGGGGCTGCGTTTTATCGGGAGCCGGCCTCGTGGTCTCTGGAGGGGTGGGGCACGGTCCCCACTTGACTTTCGGGGCAAAGTCAAAGGGGTGAGAGAGTGAGAGGGCAGGGGGGACAGAGCACGGTCGATTCTAGGAATATGTTTTCACCCTTGCTTTCCTTTTCTCTTTTTTTCGGTGGGGACGTGTTCAGTTTTCACCGTTGCCGGAGGAGCAAGAGCGCAACACATGTGAACATAAGTTTTCTTTCTTCTCTTTTTTATTTCTTTATTTATTGGCGACTATTCTACCGTGTCTACTATATTTGCTTACTCATGTTTTAGCTTATCATGATTCATGAGACGAATATATGGAGCTGACTGGGACCGGGTATAGTGAACTTGATTATGAAGATGCCTAATACGAGCAGGAATTTGGATTTTAGACCAATACAAAACACAAATTAGTTGACTGATCATTTTGGTCCATTGCAAAAAAAAAAGACTAATCAATTTGGTACGGCTCTAACCTATGTACCAATGGCTGCCAAGATACATACTCCCTCCATAAAGAAATATAAGAGTGTTTAGATCATCAAAGACGCTCTTATATTTCTTTACGGTGGAGTACTTGTTAGTGATCTAACACTCTTATATATTTTTTACAGAGGGAGTACTCGTTATGCTCACATTTTACGATTATATCCACACTAACCAGAGTTGAGTGGCCATTTTAGGCGCATTAGTATATGAATGCCCCTACGACAGTGATCGCGAAGCACATGAATGTTTATGTCGAGAGAATAAAATGCAACCAAAGATATGGAAAGAATGATGCTTGTTAACATATTGCGACAATCACAATGGTGTGCTCGGGTTTGAATTTAGTGGGCACGCGAGTTATTACTACCAAGTTTGTGTACGCCGTCATCAGTTGATCATGACTTCAACTAGAATGGTTAATTTTCTGTATATAGCAATAACACGAGAGATCGGCCATTGATAGCATTATAAGATGCAAACCATATCAACCCAATATGTTTGTATAGTAATGCATGACAGATATGTTGGCGTCAAGTAGAATTTTGATATACATTCGTATTACGCGACATATATGATTGTGTTGGGTAGACTTTCTAAGCCTCTCATTGGCCATTGATAACAATGTATAGTATACAATATATCAATGCAATGCATTTGTATAACATGATATATATCGAAAAAGGCTTTCGCCCCGGTTTATATATAAAGCACTGAGCACCAAACAATGATGGCGTCAGTTAAAATTTCTAGGCTGCTCATTGGCCATTGATAACAATGTGTAAGATAAAATATATCAACTCAATGCATTTGTATAACGCGACAAATATGATAGTGTCATGTAGAATTTCTAGGTCACTCATTGACCATTGATAACATTGTGTAATATCAAATACATCAACTTAATGCATTCGTATAACACGACCGATATGATGGCGTCAGGTTGAATTTCTAGGCCGCTCATTGGCCATTCATAACACCGTGTAATATAAAATATATCAACTCAATGCATTCCTATAACACGACAAATATAATGGCGTCGGGTAGAATTTCTAGGCCGGTCATTTGCCATTGATAGTATTGTGTAATATAAAATATATCAACTTAATGCATTCGTATAACGCGACTGATATGATGGCGTCATGTCGATTTTCTTGGCCGCTCATTGGCCATTGATAACACTGTGCAATATAACATATATCAACTCAATGCATTCGTATAACACGACATATATGATAGCATCACGTAGAATTTTTAGACCGCTCATTGGCCATTGATAGCATTTTGTAATATAAAATATACCAACTTAATGCATTCATATAACGCGACCAATATGATGGCGTCAGGTCGAATTTCTAGGCCGCTCATTGGCCATTCATAACGCTGTGTAATATAAAATATATCAACTCAATGCATTCGTATAACACGACAGATGTGATGGCGTGAGGTAGCATTTCTTGGCCGCTTATTGTCCATTGAGAACACTATATGTACAACTTATCAACACAATACATCGTATAACGCGGCATATATGATGACGTCAGGTAACATTTCTTGGCCGCTTATTAGCCATTGACAACACTATATGTACAACTTATCATAACGCGACATACATGAAGGCGTCAGGTAAAATTTCTAGACCGCTTATTGGCCATTTATAACACTATATGATGTGAACTTTATCAACCTACTATAACGCGACATGTATGATGGCATCAAATAGATTTTCTAGGCCGCTTATTGGCCATTGACTACACTATATAATGTACGACTTATCAGCGCGATACAATTGTATAACACGACAAATATGATGGCGTCAGGTAGAATTTCTAGGCCGCTTATTGGCCATTGACAACACTATATAATGTACAACTTATCAACGTAAAATATCGTGTAATGCGACATATACAATGGCGTCAGGTAGAATTTCCAGGCTGCTTATTGGCCATTGACAACACTATATGATGTACAACATAATACACCATATAATGCAACATATATGATGACGTCGGGTAGAATTTCTAGGCCGCGTATTGGCCATTTATAACTCTATATGATGTGAACTTTATCACCCTACTATAATGCGACATGTATGATAGGGCGTCAGGTAGATTTTGTTGGCCATCTTGTGTGGCACCAATGGAGTTTTTACTGTGCGTCAGGTAGTATTGTGATGACTATTGTGTTTTTTTAAACACATATAAATATTTACAAAATGAGAGGCGACTTGCGAGAGACTGATATTTCTTTTCTGCACTACATAAGTTTTACGTGGATATTCCTGCAGTATTTTGGGTGAAAAATATATTTAAATGAAATTCATATTGTATGAACTTTTAAATTAACAATGATTTTGTTTCCTTTTTGGTATTTACCATCCTTTCTCTGAACAAATTGCTTGAAGCTGAAATAGGATGATGGTAATTAATCTACGTTCCATTATTAGAGAAGGTAATTTAACCTCGATACCGCCTAGATGCACATCGTAGCATCATTACCGGTCGAAGTAAGGGCGTGCCTTGACTAGCTTTGGGTGGCGGTGGTGTTCCGGTCATAGCGTTTGACTGCAGAAGATAGAACAACATGAACAGTTTAGTCGCCCAAAATTACTATGTTTGCCAGTGCCTAGTTAGCCACCTATATATTGTACTGAAAACAAAATCAGAAAAGGCATGTCTTGACAGTGCCCGGCTAGCCACCCTCCGGTAAGACAAAACACACAAGCATGCTGCACTGCATGAGCAGAGTGGCCGAAGCTCGTCAACGACGGCCCCCACACAAGATTGCCAGCGGTGAATATCTTCATCTTCTTCCCGACATTTATTTCCCACACATCTTCCCAAATCAATGATCGGCATCCCGTATCCGCTCTCCCGCCCGCTAGCTTCCAGGCACCGTTCCAACTTCCCAACGACGAATTTTTCCCCGTCGCGTGTACGCGTGAAAAGAGCGTCGCGCGGGCACGCAACCGGGTCGGGTCGTCAAAAACCAAGAACGACGAGCGGCTCGGATTGACCGGCGCCAGTGACATCAGCCAACGCAGTGCACGCAAGGGTTTTGATCGGCCGCGGCAGCGCAGCCCACGGTGTAAACGCGCCGCGCGTTGACGGTCAAGCCGATCGATCGGCGCGGGCTGCGCGCGCGTGGAGCGGGTGCGGGTGACGGCGGCATATCCCTTGGCCGCGGGTGCTGACAAGGCCGCCTTGCCTTTTGAGGACGGACGCGGAGGAAACTGCGAACGGTTGAGCCCGGAATCGCCTTTGGAGTTTGGACGTTGTGTTTGAGATATCTCGGCCGCGGGCTGCGCCGCTCGGCCGGTCGCGGTGCCGACGTGGGCGCTCTGGCGCACGGCCAGCGCGCCGGGGAGGCGCTCCGTTGGACATGTGGCCGCGCGCGGTGGCTCTTCGGCGGACGTGTGGGACACTCGCGTCGATGCCTGATGTTGCACGTACAAACGGGGATCCAGCTGGGAAACAATATGCATGCCCCAACGCTCTTCTGTATCTCTACTGTTAATGCTCGCGTGCATTGCACCTCAGAGCCTGGATATTCAAAATACGACCGAATATTCACGTAAACATGTAAGCTTATAGAGTTACACATGCGTATAAAGTATTTATTAATATATACTAGCACATATGCCCGTGCATTGCAACGGGAAAAAAGTTAATGTGTCCATCAAAACGCCGCTTCCTAAATTTTGAACCCATTTGGGTTTGGTTTAGTTAGACTTTAAATTCAAACAAGTTTGTATTAAATTAAACTTGTTTAAATTTAAAGATGGTAAAATTCCCCAAAACACTTTATTTAAATTCCTCTTATTTCTCCGATCCCATAGAAATAGGTCTAAATCCCTTCTTCCTCTCTTTACTTTTCATCAAGTTTCGTTTAGTTTTTTTAGACAATCAAGTTCCGTTTTAGTTGAAAAAAGAAAATAAAAGTAAGAACGAGAGGGTGCATCAGCCTGGACAACCCAACTATAGGCCCGCCCATCTAATTTTTCAGCTCGACCCACGTACCACTGTTAACCCTACCCCTACCTAACAGATAGGGAGATCGAATCCCAACCCCATCGATCCCATCTTGTATCCCCCTCCAGCACCGTCACACACAGGTAGGAGCCCAATTCCGGCTCGCGGCCGGCTCCGCCGCCGCCGACCGCCACTTCCCTCTTGCTCCTCTTCTCGCCTCGCGGCGGCACCGCCACCGTCGACCGCCACCTCCCTCTTGCTCCTCTTCTCCGCCGCCCAAACCCTTCCGTTCTTCTTGCCTCCTCACGCCTTCCTGTTTGTGTGTG